GGAACATTCTGGCTGTGATTCTTTCAACACAGACTTATTTGTTCCATGGTACTTTTAATATTCTTCTGTAAAAACATAATTCAAATGCATTGATTCTTCTGTGATCTGTCCAACATTCACATATATATGAGGCTTGGGTCAGACACACCCTAGACCTCACACTGATATCTTTGCTCTTGAACACTTTAAAGAGGTCTTTTGCAGCAATTTGCCTAATGCTATACATCTCTTGATTTCTTGACTGCTGCTTCCATAAATGTTGATTGTGGATTCATACAAAATGAAATCCTTGACAACTCCAGTCTTTTCTCCATTTATGGTCTTTATTGGTCCAGTGGTGAGGATTTTTGTTTTCTTTACATTGAGGTGCAATCCAGTGTTTTAAGTCCGTGTCCACTTCCAGCAAGCAAAGTTGTATAATCTACATATTGCAGATTGCTTATGAGTATCTCTCCAATCCTGATGCCATGTTTTTCTTCATTGTAATTCACCTTCTTGGTTTATATGCTCAGCATATGTATTGAATAAGTGTGGCAGAAGGATACATCAAGTCTTTTGGAAGACTTGGAAAAAAAGGCTTCATGGAAACAAGTGAAAGCTCAGAGAAAGAATAATCGCCTGTGTAGGTTATTTATGCCATGATCGTTAGTGGAAATTGTCCTGTGTTAGTTTTTGTTTGCTGGCAGCCATAAAGATAATTGGAGTCTGGCTGTGGGCTAATGCTCTGGTCTGCAAAGTCGGTTTGAACCACAGGGTCAGCGATTCAAGTTCACCAACTGCTCCTCGGAAACCCTATATGGGGTCACTATAGGTCTGAACCAACGCGACAGCACTTAACAACAACAACAATAAAGAAATCATGCCTAGATTTGAAATTATTTTGAATAAAGGAAATATTTTTTTCTTTGTAGCTTCCACCAGCACTTTCCTCCAAATATCCAGAAGATGATCCAGACTACTGTGTCTGGGTCCCACCAGCAGGTAGAGTGTTTTTCCTTTACATTCTACTTAGTTATATTTTAAAAGGTAATATGTATTTAAAGTTTAGAATAAGAAAATTTTAAGTGTATGAAATGAAAATTCTCCCTCTTTGTGGAGCAGGTGTAGATGAAAAGACCTAGAGACATATCAACCAAGTGTTACCTGTGTACCCTGTTTTGGATCCTTATTCCAGTAAACAATTGTTAAACAAAAGGGTCCTGAGTCAGTCAGATAAATGTGAACACTGGCTGGATATTTGATGATACTAAGAAGTTACCATTCATCTTTGTAATGGGTGATAATAATGTTGAGTTGCATCTTTTAAAGAAGTGCTTACTTTCTAGAAATATATACAGAAGTATACACAGTGGAATGGCTTCAGGAATTTACCTTAAATAATGCAGTGGTGGAGAAATAGGGAAAATGAGGAAGGGTCAAGAGAGAAAACAGGATTGGCCTCTTGGTGATATTTCTTAAAGCTAGATGATGGGTACATGGAAGTTCATTATATTTTTCTTTTTTGTATATTTTTTCAATTTATTTTTTACGTTAAATAAAAAATTCTGATTGGGCCTCATATACCCAGTTTTGTTTTTTTTTGCTATGTTTGTTGTTGTTGTTAAGTGCTATATACAACCAAATATTATCAGTTTCTTAAGTCACATACATATTATATAAAATCCCTATTAAGGAAATTAAATATCCAGAACTTAGCCCCCCATTTTGTTCTCCTACAAATGAAAGCATCATCTACAGCATTTTTATACTTAACACTGTATCTTGGAGATCCTTCCATAGTATTTATAGTTTTTGTTCTTTTTTTTGGCTGCAAAGTTCTCTTTTAGTGGTATGGATATATTTTTGCTCATTTAACTAGTTTCCTTGATGGGCATTTATGTGTTTGCAATCTTTTGGCATTGCAAACAACTCTGTAGTAAGTAAACTCTAACATATATGTAATTTTTCAAGTGTGGAGGTGTACCTATAGGAAATTGTTCATAAATGTTAACTTGATGGATCAAAGGACATGAACATTTCAAAATCCTGTCTAGTTGCATTTTATAGACAATTTCATTTATGCTTATCTGTACCCGCACTTTAACAGTGTAGCGGGGGCTCATTTCCCTGTATGTTCGTCACAGGCGGCTTTTTCTGTGGATTGGGTTTCTAAATACTCTGTAATTAATTAATAGAAATACAGGTACTACATACACAGGGAGCTCTGGTAGTGTAGTGAGTTACATGTTGGGCTGCTAACTACAAGGTCAGCAGTTCGAATCCACCTGCAGCTCCTTGGAAAAAAGACCAGGCTTTCTTCTCATGTAAAGATTTACAGCCTCAGAAACCCTGAGTCAGAGCTGACTTGATGGTACAAAATCAGCACCACCACTAGTTACTAGACATATTTGTGTTTTATATGTTAATAAATACAAGAGTAGGAATGAAAACAGGACTGTGTTTTGAACTTTCATACAATAAGTAAAAATTTTATCATAGAAGAAAACTTTTTTACGTGTTTACTTTTGGCGTTATTGATGTCTTGTTATTTTTTTCTCACTGACTTTGAAAAGTGAATGTGTTTCTTTTATGTTCTCTAATCTAGGTCAAAGTGGTGATGGCAGGACCCATCTTAATGACAAGTATGGCTATTGATTGCTTCAGTATCCCTAAAGACGATCTTATGGACCATGTGACATGGGATATTTGGGATCATATTTCAAGCTGAATGGCCAGAGGAGTTAGGAGAATTGTTTGTAAAATCTGGTGACCTGTCTTTTCTTCTGTGCTCTTGACTTCCTGAATTTATCACCCACCTGATTTTCTTGAATTTTGTATTCTGTTGTAAGTGTTTATGTATGTATATAGAAAAGGAACCATAGAGTTACAGAAGTAAAACGAGAGAAGTAACTCTATTAAAATGAGAAGGCAAAGATAATGTCCCTAATGTTGATTTAAGGTCACAGACTCATCAGATCTTAGAGACTGCTTTTCATGAGCAATAGGCTACTTGTGGAGTCAGGCTGTAGAATTCACTGATGTTGCTTCCTCAGATAAGTGTTAAAAGGTCAGGTCATGTCATGGATGTTACCCAGGATGTCCCTGTCATGCTTGGAACTAAATGTAGATACACAATGGGACTCCTACTCCCTCAAACTTGAATCCTCAGCCAGGTTTGAGAACAGACTCAATTCTATTGGGACGTGTGAAGGACCATCACCACTTCAAGACCCCAGACACCTGATCAAAAACATGCCAGGAAGGTCCTGGACTCTGACCCATCACTCTTCCTCCCATGCAGGAGGCAAATACGCTCACGGGAAGAAAAGCTGGATGTGTTCTGCTCAGTGGGGGCCTTCTCACCTCTTTGGAGAGGGGAATAAAAGTTCCTTCCTCTCTGGAAACGTGAAGAAATTAAGGAAAGTGTTTTCTCCACCTGCCTTCTACCCCCGTGGTTAGGCCTTCCTTCTTTAGGAAGGAAATCCTGAGAGTGAAGGCAAGGTGGAAAGTTTCTGGATGCGGTTGAAGGCAGGCCTATCAATAGGCAGGGGAAATGCTGTGGCCTCACTAGAGAGCACATGAGGACACTGTTTCCTAGAAGGGATTATACCGTCTACAGGGACACGGGCAGGAGGCAGTGATGAGAAACTTTATCCTGACAGATGCAGTTCATCTGGTCTGCTAAGTGTTCTGAAAGTGGAATGTAAGTATTATGAGACACTGTTACTAATACTGTTCATTCATACCAACAAGGAAAAATTAGTTGGTGACAGGAATTTGGGTGCAGAATGACCATGCCATGTTGGATCAAGAGAACAGTGGACAGAAACTGAGCCAGATAAGTGCAGTGGTCTTTAAAGGTGAAGCTATTCACCCAAAATTACATGTGGTGACTTTTTTTGTTTTTTACATGTGGTGACTTTCAATACTTGAAGGTATACTTACTCTGGTTGAAGGATGGTGTGGTGACTGGACAACCCCCTCCCCCCAACACACACACACATGTTGGTCTGTCCTCCTCTCAGTCACACAATGGCCCTGAGAAACACTGGGTGCCTCAGAACAGAGTCTGAAAATGACTGCTTTAGGGAAGCAGATTTCGAAACATTTTGGGAGAGTTGGTATGGACTCTGAAAGTAAAGCAGAATTCCATGTGCCAAATTACAAATATGTAATTTGTTCATATTCAAAAGACCTGCATGTGAATCTTAGCTTCCTTCTAAATAGGAGACTTTGGACACATTACTTAAATCCCCTCGACTCTCTGATGGGAAGCAGGGCAATAATACTTCATGCTAGAGAACTGCGGCTTTATTATAAAAACCAAATGAGGTGGGTCTGCTCTACAGAGCTATACTAAGTCAGTGTTGTTATTTGTAACTACTAAAATCCTAATACTGGGCTTGACTCTTCATCTGTGAAAGAGGAGACTGGGTTAGAGCAATGATTTGCCACTTTGGCTACATATTAGAACCACCTGGGGAAATCACTGCAGACCCAGGTGATTCCAATGTGCAGCCTCTAAAGCACAGTTGGCAAATGTTAAAAATAGTAAATACAAAGGGGCTTCAAAAAGTTTGTGGAAAAGTGGAATTAAAATATAAATGGAATTTTTCTGTGAACTTTTTGAAGCGCCCCCTTGTATGGTAGCCTTTGTAGACTGTACAGTTTCTGTCTCAGTTCCCCCACTGCTGTTATGGCACAAGAGTAGCCACAGTAAAGACGCAAATAGATGAGTAGGCTGTGTGCTGGTAACTGTTTACTTAGGAAAACCGGTGGTGGTTAAATTTGGCTTTCAGGTTGTGGTTAGCCATCCCCCTACTCTAGACTGATTAACCTTCAGGGGTTCAGCTGGCTCAAGCTGTGTTCTTTACAACATAAGAGGTAAATGGTGGATCCTAGTGAGATTTTAAAAAAAGTAGAATGGCTAAAACTGGATGATGAATTGTCTGGGGGGTGAAGATTTTTCCTAGATTTCTGGTTTGTACATTTGATAAGGAGAATGCTGGAGGAGGACCGAGATGGAGGTGGGGGAGATCGTAAGTTCAGTTTTGGAGAAGTTAAGCTTGATGTTACCCTGAGACTTCTGAACAAGAAAGCAGTTGAGCAATATTGGATCTCAGAAGAGAGGCTGGAGAACAAGTGCTTCTTTCATTAATGAAGCAAGAGGTAGATGCCAGCAGACAAGGCTAAAAAGGGGTACAGTGGAATTTTGAACAGTTGTCTCTTCCTATCTTTGGTACTGGGAACAAAGTTTACCCTGGTTATGGGTACTCACTTATTGGAGGGAAAACAAAGTACATCTATACCATAGTGAGTAGTATTCTGTAGAGAAAAAGTGTGGATTTACCATGAAAAAGAAGTTCATTTGTCTACTTTAGAAATTTTCTAGGACCTAAAACTTACCTAGAAAACCTAAACTTCTTCTTCTATACTATTTTTTATTTAAAAACAGTAGCTAAGACTTACTTAGCGCCCTAATGTACTACACACTAAGTGCCTGGGATATATTCCCATCGACTCCATGGCACTTAACAACAACAACTTCAAAATAATTCAATAGGTACCTTCATTTCCTTCAGGTCTATGGTTGAGGAGATAGGCCTTTAAGGTTAAAACTTGCTCAGGGGCACTCCACCTTCACGTGAAGCAGCAGCTGGAACCCAAGCAGTCTAAGTTCTTAACCCCACGGTGTATGGCCTTAATAAAATAAAAATAAAAATCCCTGCATCATTTACCAACAAAATCCAGCAGACTTCACAAAGCACAGTATTTTCATTATTAAAAATATTTTTATTTCTAAAAGTAATTTAGTCATATTAAGGTGTGTCCTGGTGTGACACTGTGGGTTAATGCACTGTACTGCAAAGTCGGTTTGAACTTCAAGGTTGGCACTTCAAGCTCACGAGCTGTTCCTTGGAAACCCCATACAGGGTCACAATGGGTCAGAACCGATTAGATGGCACTTAACAACAAGGATATTTAGGGAGGGGGATGGGGAATGAAGCATGGGTAAAATCAAATAAAAACCTTGCTGCCATAACTCAATTCTGTTATTTTCGTTGGGGCTTGGACCTGCCTTTGGAAGTGCATTCACTGAAATCTGCTCTCCATATCATAAGCACAGACCTTGTCATTGTGTTGTAAAGGAAGAATGAACATTGGGGCCTACATCATGTATCTCTCTCTGCCACTTAGCTGAGTATCCCCAAGCAAGGCATGAGATGGAAAGGGATCTTCAGGAGAACTCAGTTCAATCCCTTTAGTCTAGAGGTTGAGAAGACCAAGGCTCTTGGTGGGTGTGGCTCACTCAGAATTTGCTACCACTTACTGTCCCTGAAGCCTCAGTATAGTTAATGCCTAGTAGACAGTAGGCTTTATTTGCCTCATTGGGAAAATGGAGATCAAAATGGATACCCTGCCTAACACCAGGGATGGTTGAGAGATCAAATATTGCATTTGAAAACGAATTTCCTATACAAGTATTGAGGCGTGGTTTGCTCCTTTCACTATATTCCGTATGTGAGGGGGCTTCAAAAGTTTGTAGGAAAATTCCATTATCTTCTCAGTCCACTTCTTCAAAAACTTTTTGAAGTCCCCTTGTGTCCTACTTTGCACTCCAGCCACTCCCCTCCAGGGTGACAGCAAGCATCCGGAGTTCTCTCCTAGAGCTTCAGCACACAGCCGACTCCTGATTAGACTAAACTTGGAAACTTTTTAGTGATACAATATGCACTTCTTGACATTTCTTTCAAGGCACAGCCAAGTTCCCTAGAATGGATCACTATTTTGTGCATCATTTTAAGATCCCTAAATTTGTTTTTTGTTTCCTTGAACACAACTCACCAAAGTGAGTAGCTTTGTATGATTGTATTTCAGGGCAATCTTATGCATCTAAGTAATCCTGGTGGGGTGCTGCGGGTTAATGTGCTGGACTGCAAGGTCGGTTTGAACTGCAAGGTCAGTGGTTCAAACGTACCAGCTGCCCCTTGGGAACCCTATACAGTACAGGGTCACTATGAGTTGGAACTGACTCGACAGCGCTTAACTGATAGGTATCTAAACGCAAACAAAAATTCAAGGTGGACAGGCATTACCAAAATTTTGGGAAGGGAAATTCAGAGTAAAGACATATTGTCTCAAGATCCCATCTTTTTCCTTTCCTAGAATCAAAACTTGAAAACTCATGAACCATTCTTATCTAAATTATACACAGTGCTTATCTAAATTGTACACAGTGCCTGATACATTCAATACATGTCTCGTGAGTTCCTGCTATAAACGTGTTCCCTGGAATTCTCCAACCCAGGATAGTAAACACAAGTCCAGATTATCTTCATATAGCCAAGCCCTAGCAAGGTCGGTGGTTGAAGCTCACCAGCTGCTCCTCGGAAACCCTATACAGGGTCCCTATGGGTTGCAATCGACTCGACGGCACTTAACAACAACAACCCACTACTAGAGTCCTGGTGTGGCACTGTGGGTTAATACGCTGGATTGTAAAGTCGGTTTGAGCCACCAGGTCAGTGGTTCAAGCTCACCAGCCTTTCCTTGGAAAACCTATACAGGGTCTCTATGGGTCGGAACCGACTCGACAGCACTTAACAACTTCAGTGGAACTGGATAAAGTTAGCCCTATTAGGAAAGATGACACA